GAAGAGCGTGTGATATCTAGGTCTTCCCAGTGTGTCTTCAAGCTCAGCCAAAGGCTCAGATCTGCACAATGAATGGAATTCATTGCATTGTACATTATGGATTGAAAAAAAAAAAGACTTCTTATTGTGAAAGCACTTCTTAAAATGCTAGAAATATGATCTGAAATAGGGAATAGTATTGATCCTATTATTGATTCAGAAAATCATGAGAAGAGTTTAATTAGGAATTGTTGGGTTTGTGACCACTTTGGCAGGATAGAAATAGAAACGAATAGATACATTGATTGGGATATAACATACACAGTAGTGTTCAGGCATGTTCCTGCAGAGAGATGATATCATAGAGATGCTACCTATTTTCTGGTTTGCAAAACAGCTGTAGGAGATCCAGACCGTGATGAGTTCCTTTCACCATCACTTGGAAGTGAGGTCTGTGAAGATTTGAAAAGTGCACTTCTGGCCTGGCCAAGCCTTCTCTTTTGTAGGCATGACTCTGAAGTACTGCAGAATGTGCCTGAAGAGGTCCATGTTGGGGTTTCTGATGGCAGACGTAGGGTTTCATACCTTTTTTCTTCTTCTTCTCTTTTTTTTTTTTTTAAAGTTGTATCTTTTCCATCCGCTAAACTGGTGACGTGAGACATACTCAGAAATTTCCCTCCTTCCCTTATCTGACTACATTTCTGTGCTTTATGCTGTTGAGCAGCATACCCTGCTTCCTGAATTCCTGCTTTTACTTGTCTTGTTAAATTCTTTCTGAGAGACAATGCACACTTTAGCTTATCTGTTGTCTTTGTTACTTGGGCTGCAGGGAACCTTCTGTTAGCAGAGAATCCACTGCTATGGCATGCTGCTTTGCTGTTGAAATGGACAATTTCCTTAATATGTGAAGCAGCAAATTTTGCTGATGCGTGATGTAACTGAATTATATAAAGTTAAATATTTAATGAAAGCTAAATTTAATAGAAAAGAGAAGATTTTGTGTAGCTGCTGAAAAAAATTTTTGTTTTAGTACGACCTTAGTGACTTGTGACTGTGCGGTTTAGCAGTCGTCTTTCTTAAAGAAGGTTTAAGCCTGCTGTCTTAAAACTGATTATCTGGGACTGTAGTGGTCCGTGTCTGATACTTTCTGTGCTTCACTGAAACTCGTTTATCCAGTTCTGAATAGGAATGCCTGGCAGGGCCTCTCAAATATTCAGAACGGACTGATAATCTTCCAGAGCGTATCAGCTGCCATTAACTGATCTTTCTAATTAAATAAGGAGGTTGGTCCTGCTCTCTGGATCGATTAGAAAATCAGATTCAGCTGAACATGCTATCAGTGAAATGTTCACACTGAATCAGCTAAGTTTTTAGAAATGCTCTGGCCTTTATTTTTACTCTGTATTTGGTGACACTTAAACGTTAATCCTTCATTGGGTTTTGTCATCAGCTTTGTTGCATTTTGTTGAAATCTAGAATGTGGCTGATCATTTTCTGAAAAACAGAAAAAACTGAACTGATTAGCTGTTGCAGGCAACCACAGAAAATAAACTCTTGCATGTGTTTAGATGAAGAGAAGGAATAATTTAAATTAAAGCTGCTAACCCAGCAATTGCAGCTAATATGATAATGGATATGATTTGTTATTAATACAGTACCTGCTGATCTTGTAATTTCACCAAATCTGTAAACAGGACCGTTTGAATGTTAAAAAAAAAAAAATATGCTGAAAATGGGAGTCTTCCCTATTTTCCCTTCCTCTCCTGGTCACCTTAAAAATGCACAAGGTGTTCTTTTGCAATTGCTTAGGTTAGGACTTGAGTCAGAAATTGTAGTGATGTGGTCAAATTCATTTTATACACATGCAGTTAAATTATCCAAACCCCTGATATAGACAGTCATATTTCAGGTTAATGTTCATATTATTTGTTCGTAAGTAAATTAAAGAATTTCTAATCAAGAAATTTGCATCATATTTTAAAAAAGTTTATTTTTAATATTGGTGTGTTTGAAGACTAACTTTAATTTGGATTCTAATTCAGGTTTCTCCATTTATTTTGGTGTGCAAATTGTCAAGAATTAAATGTTTATTTAACGCATGCTGTTTAGCTATATGTTTTTTTCATGGTGTGTAGTTTGACATAGATAGAGATCCTTAGTAAACACAGGAGATAAAGCAGGAACTTTCGCTGTGTGGGACACTATTGGATTGTGGTTTTTTGTTACAGAAGCCTTAATAAGTCATCCTGCTTTTAAGAACTGTTCCAAATACCATGATACTATCCAGGACATCTTTTTAAATTGTTAGGAAGAGGTATTTATTCCTAAAGGCTGGGCATCCTTTTTTTTTGTTGCATGACTGCAAATCAGGTTCCTTGCAACCCTTTTCCCATTCTGTGGCTTGGAACAGATACTTTTTTATCTTTCAGATCAACCAATCACAGTCCTTTAGAAATAAGAGATTTTTAAATATCCTGGAATATCCATGCATCTCCCGATCTTCAGAACACAGTTGTAAGAATTATGACACATGCACGTTTTTTCCCCAAGCAGACACTAACTCAACAAAATATTAAAGCTCCCACATGGACAAATATGTTTTAGCACCTTTCAGTTTAGATAGAGTAGATAGTATAATGTTAGAAATTTCCTAATTTCATTTGCTTTTACCAACTGTTTCACTACTTGTTAGAAAAACTCTTGGCGTTAAATCCAGGGTGACTGACTTGCAAGCCATTTTCTGCAAATGCCAACCACTCTGATAAATGATTTTTTAACTTACCAATATTCTGAACTGCACTTCTTCATTTATTAGCTCTGCAAACTCTCTGATAGTGTCAGGGCCTCTTTTAACAGCGGAGTTAGAATATAACAATTATGGCTGCCCCAGTTATTGCGCATGACTAGTTAGTAGTCTCATGAAATGAGTAGCAATGTAATGCAGCTGCTGCTTGTGCAAACTTGATAGCAACTCTACAGAATCACTGTAACAGTACGTTTTCGTGAAAATTTTAGTTTGCTACTTTAGAGGTTGTAGCATTGCTTTCCGTGGTTTTCCTCTCTTGATCCAACAAAACTCTAGGCTGGTGGCATTTAGGACTCCTTGTAGAATTATTTTGTTTAGGTGGGTATTTGCAGGAGCAGCAGTTAATACAGTGCAGAATGGTCATGGGTTTGGAAGGATTTTTTTCCTCTGGTCAAAAAATATTGGTAAATCACCAAGAGTTGAACTTTCCAGCAGAGTTGAGCAGTTGATGAGAATTAGAAAAAGTTAGCCTTTCGACAAATCCAGCCTGTATGCCTAAGTTTTCAAGAGCATTCTGAAATGGACAATTGATTTTAAAGATTTTCAATGAAAATACCTAAATCCATTTTCTGTTGTAGGCGATAATTTCTATGGGTAGCTAAGGCAGACCTCTGATCACTGCTTAACATTTTTTATTTGTTAGCAAATATTTTTTATAGTTGTGGATACAGTGAGTGTCCTTGTGTACATTTTACACCTCTGGATTATCGCAATTTAATTGAGTTGAATAAATTCTTCATATAACACCACCCAAGTTAGCATAGTTTCATTGGATGAATATGAATATTGCACTTGTTATTTAATCACTGCTTTCTGAGAGACAAAAAAATGTGTGTACTGTAGATTAGGATTTTCTGAGTTGCATGTAGAGCTATAAATAACTTCTCAAGGTACACTCAGGCTGATAGCTGAAGACAGGCTGGAAAATAGATCGCTGAAACAGGTAACGAAAAGAATTAGTAACAAAGTGCAACACTGAAAACACATAGATAGTGATTTGATGTCTACATTTTCGTGCTTCAAAGCCAGCATCATAAGTGGGGGAATTGTATCAGTTTCCAAAGATGTTGAGTCAGTATTGCGATGTCCTGGTCTGCTCAGGAGGTGTTGGTTCAGGTCCAGTCAGGAACGACAGCAGGATGCAAGGAACATGTTTTGTTTCTAACTCTCTTTTTTCCTGTGCTGAAATACTGTTCTTCAATTTTACGAAAAATGCTGTGTTGATGGTACAAAGATTAATCTGTTTTGAAAAGAGGAAGAAATTGCACAAAGGAGGATGATAACAGCATCTGATCCAAATATATCTTAACGAACGGAGCAGATTCCGTGCTTGTCGCATTTGGCCTGTGGCTTTTTGTACTTCATGACAAGAGGAGTAACATATTCTTGAAGAACTTGTGTTGGAAATGTGAACATTTTGCTTCTGCAAATGCTTCTGAAGATCAGGCTGAACATGCATATTATAACTTGAACACAAATAAACATTGTTACAAGAGTGATATTAAGATTTGGAGGAAAATTTTTTTCCTTGGGGCAGATTATCCCATAGTTACCTACTGCAGAGTTTTTGCATCTTCCTTGGGAAACAACACATATTTGATTACCAGGAACAACAGGATTCTTCATTAAGTAGCTCTAAGATCTTTTCTTGGAAAGCAACTCCTGTGCTATCTTAGAATAATGCTCTGACTTGTCAGTCAGGTCTAGGAATTACATGCTATGCATAAATATGCATTTTATTGTGTGATACATCCAAGTAGGTGATAAAAATATGTTGAAATGTATTGTTTAATATTTATTATGGCGATTAATCTTTAGAGACTTATTAAATAATTCTGCTTTATGTCTAATTAGCTTGTATTCTACAGAAGAGATTCAGTAAACTCAGGGGTTAAATTTGAGGGCAGAGGGGTATGAGCATGGACAGGGTCTGTAGTACCTTATCTATGTTCCATTTTGATAAACTATATCAGTCTTCATAAGAATATATTATGTATAAATCCATATGAGTCATAAGTGCTTAATTATTTTAATAAGCAATTTCTTTTTCTATCATCAATGGGGTAAATACAAGAAGGGAAAACACAAATAGCACATTACAGCATTTGTTCCTCAGTTTGTATGTTCCTTTAAATGAAATTTCAGTATTGTGTGCAGCATAGAAATATTTCTTTGATGATTTGTTAATAATACTTTCCTTTTTCCCAGCTGGATTGTGTCCTGCAGTAATATTAACAGCTGCAAGATGTTTCAGTGCAGAGTGTATTGAAGAATAAAAACACAGACAGTATTGGGAAAGTTTCAGAATAAAGGTTCATGATGAAATAATTGCAACTTATTTTTACTGCGTTATGAAATTGATATCAGCTTCTCCTTTTCTCTTAAAATGAGTCTGTCTTTTTTGATCTCACAACTTGTGTTTAGTTTCTGCATTCATACATTTAAATCTTAGGCCATTAATGTGAGTGTATAGTATTCAAGCTGCTTGTTTCAGGTATGACTTCTGAATATATTTAGGAAGACTTTTAAAATTGTACATGATAATGTAATAGGCAAAAGAAAGGAAGTTAGTCATGGCGATCAGACAAACATTTTAAAACCAAAACTGCGGTTTTTGTGTCTTAGCATGTTGTAAGGCAAAAAATATATTTTACGTGGCGACTGTGGAATTTGCTTTCTTTTTTGGCAGATCTCTTACAACAGGAAAATAGTGTAGCAGTATGCAAAGCAACTGTCCTATCATATTCATTCTGCTTACTAACACTGAAGAATTTTTGTTTCCTTTCAGATGCAGTTTCCACATCTGCTTACTCATCACCAGCCAAAAGTTTGGGAGACCCTGGAATAACTCCACTGTCTCCATCACATATTGTGGTAAGAAATACACTCTTAACATATACTGTATGTTGACATTACTTTCTCCTGCCTGTTTAGTGGGATGTAATTTCTTTAGAAAGTTGTCATTTCCTCACATAGTGATCCCTTTTATGCTATCCATAGTCTTAAGTAAAATTTTGGTCTTACTGGGGTTGGTGATAGAGCTCTCATTCTATCACCAGGGTCCTGGTTTTGCTTTTTTTTTGTCTACTTGCTGAGCTATTAGATTTGCTTCTGCATATTTTTATAGCAAATGCAGTGGCTTCTTGATCCTCAGGGTGCCCAAGTTCTGTCCCTGTCTTTATCACTGCTTTGTTTAGGCAGCCTCTGAAACGTCTCATTCTATTCTGAAGAAAAGAAGGATATATCCATGATACTCAACAGTAAAATCCAAATTCCCTGAGAAAACAGTCTCCTCCAACATAGAGAGAGAAGCTCAGAATAGAAGTGTTTTAGTTTCTTAAGAATAGCCACTTCTGTAAGCTTTTGGAAGCATCCAAATGTCCCGTAAAGGTAGTGTGTTTTAATCCCTTGTACGTCATGCTCATTTTGTTGATAAACTCCCATTTAAACTGTCCCATCTGTTTTTAAGATCGTCTGCGTCATCTGTAACACAGTATATGCACAGCATATTTCTTGATATTGCAAGGGATCCTGTTCAGAACACATCGCTACCCTTGTATTTCTTCCTTAGCTTTCTGAATCAAGTTCAGAGTTGTGCAGCATCCCTCTTCAGGATTTCCAGAGTTCTCTCTCCTAAATTTTTGCTTTTATTCCCTTCTTTCTCCATATACTCTAGAACTTCCCCCTTTCACTTCTGTTATACTGATGAATTTATGTCCTCTTTCAGTTAAATTTGCTCCTTAAACTCTTTGAGGAAAACATATAAATAACATACTACCCTGGTTGAAAAGGTTTGTTAGGAGAATCCAAACAAATCTTTCATTATTTGAGACCAAACCTTATTACTCTTGTTTCTTCATTTTAAGTAGCAGGCCTATGGGATGATCTTGGAAAATGTAGAGGTACAATAGAAAGGTGCTGGAAGTAGCAGGCGTGGAGATAATGGAGATATTTGAGGAAGATGGTGGAACACTGCTCGTAGAGCGAGGACATTTGGCAGTTCCTTTGTAAAATAGAATAACAATTGCTTCAAAATTTTATTGAGAGTACAGACTGAGCAGCAGCGGTGGAGGATTCAGACATGACCTGTATAGTAATAGGTTGACAGATCTGTTCCATGGTGATTTTGCCAAAATGACGTGTGTGCAGACGGGTGTATTACCCTCCTTCACTATCTACCTGCTTGTAACACATAGCCCTTTCACCAGTGTTTCCAGCTTGTTCTCCTCCTGTCTTGCTAAGCTGTTAGTGCTTTAACGGCCATCAGCATGTGAAGAGTAGTTCCTTGCTGTTCATTACTTGTTCCTCCTTTAGATAGGATTTATGTTAGGCAAAAGCCTACTGGGGAGTGATACAATTCCTTGTTTATTCACATCGTGCTTTATATCACGTCATTATGATTTGGGCCGTAAACCTCCCACCTCTTCTAGTTAACATTCCCATGTTACCCTTGGCTGTGCTTTTCAGGGATTGCAGGATTACAGGTAAAAGGCAGGGAGAAGGATTCAAATGCACTATAAGGAGCTGGACAGCTTTCCACATTCTAGCACAGGCAGGAGGAAAGAATGCATACAGTGCTTACAAATTAAGTGTCATGTAAATTCTTCATAAATAAATAATTATCATGCGATATAAAGCTTATCACTGTGTTTTGGGTTGTTCTGTCTCCAGTAGTTTTGAATGGTGGTAGTAGTACCTCATGTTCAAGGTTATGACATAGTTAACTCCTAAAACCACCAAATAAGTCTCAAATATACCACATTGATGGATATAAACATATTCTTCAGTTGATCAATTTAAGAAAAAAAAAAAACACAAACAGCCCCCAAACCAGTAACCTGGTGTTTCGGCCTAAGTTTTAATGATACAGGATAAAAGCTATTCCAAAAAATAAGTGTGAAGGAAACTCTTGATTCAGAAGATTATGTGTAAAAGGCTCCAGCCAGTATGTTGAGTTATATATTGAATTTCCACTTCCATTGGAATGTTGAGCTTTCTGGTATCATCTTTGGTGACAGCTGAACTTTAGGGAAGTCCATATTTCCAGTGAAGAGAGATGCATGTCTTGGAGAGCAGAAATACTGAAGAGTAAGACAGGTTATGGTTATTGTAATCAGTGACTCAGTGTATTTTGCTTCTGCTATTTAACAGAAGGACTCTGATGCAGATGATGCTGTAGAACAGTTATTTCTTGTTGTTGTGGCTATTGATTTTGGCACAACATCCAGTGGCTACGCCTACAGCTTCACCAAGGAACCAGAATGTATTCATGTAATGAGGTAAGGACTGCAATGCAGCATTTAGTTTTTAATCGTGATAACATGGTTTGTCTGCAGTAGCTCTAGATACTTTCTACAGGAGCCTGAAGTGTCTAGATTTGCCTGGTGTTGCCACAGTGTGCACCTTTCTCATGGTTATAGTTTTTTGTTGCATCTTATTGTATTCTAATTTGCTTTAATAATCAATATGAACATGTCCTCTCTCTGTTATTTTGCCAAGTTTACAAGATAACATGAGTAAAAGAAGGGATCAGTGAGTTTTTAGAATCGTTCAGAGAGCAGTGATAATTGTTAAGTCAGGATGCCTGTGTCTCAGAGATTGAGAGAAACTAGGCATTTATTAAGGGTCATGGCATTTCCCAGGAGCTGCCCATCCCCTGGAATCATGCTTGTATACAGTTGTGTGTACAACACTTAGTTATTTGCACCGAGAAACTGGTAGTTCATTGGGCTGATTTAAGCTTTTGGCATTAAATTTGAATCAAATCTCTGATAATGAACCAGTGATACTGGGAAACAAGCAATCAAAAGGCATGAATCTGTTCTGTATTACACCTATGTAAGGCACAGACTTGAGATGCTGTTATGTAGGGATTTTTTTATTTATTTCTGGATTAAATCAACAAAATATAAAGCTCTGCCTATAAATCTAATGCAGTCAGAAATGCAAAAACTGTTATGACAGGTACATGAAAAGATTGCCCTACAAACTATTTTTATAGTCTTTAAAATTTTTTTTTTGTAACTAAAAACCTATAGAGTTCGTATTAAAGTGTGTTTAAAATGACTATATTGTAAGAAGACAAAGATATAGATAATTTCAGACATAAACAAGGTATATCTGAAAAGATTAGCCATAGAAGTTCTTCTAAACAAAGCTGCTGTTACAGCAGTAGGTAATGTACTGTGTACTGTTTGCAGCACTGGAATACTGAGAACAAAAGGGCAAAAAGACTGACTTGCTGTAGTCCAGTGTGATATACTGTAATTTTTCTAAGCAAAGATGCTAGCTGAATGCAGCTCTCTAAGTCTCAGCAGGCAGTCTTGATTGTGCAGTCAGCCTGCATAGTTGGTCTGTATACGGTTGCAAAGTATTTCAGAGATCTAATGCAGCTGAGTGATTGGAAATACTATCTAAAGGGAGGTAAATTTTGGAATGGTGTTATGCCATCCAATTGCAAATATGCCTACCATTTTCAGTATGGACAAGTTATGCTGCAAGGCCTTTTATGCATCTCATCCATCTATTGTTCTCTGAACAGCACAGGAAGCTGCATGAGGCTAGAAGTCAAAGGACAGGCCATGTGTTGTGCTCTCAGACAGGTTCCAGGGTTGTCGAGTTGAAATCCATGTTTGTCAATTCCTATTCTCTTTTGACAGCAAATAATTAATCAAATTTCTTAAAGAAGTTGGATGAAATGAGGGAAGAAATCTCTGAAGCTGTACCTGAGCAAGCCTAAATCCTATATACTGTGTTGTTCCTATAATCTCTGTGGAGATTTTACTGTGTGAAATCACTACTGTTTCTAGGGATGTCCTTAAAGCACTTTGGACTCGAAATTTTACCTTAGGACCTGATTTTGCCATTTGGTTCACACTATACTGCAGTAAATTACAGACTAGATTCTCCTTCCAGGGTACCAGGTTTCCTGATGTAGAACACGGGGATGTTGACATGTAAGTGCTGTGTGGTCAGCTGAGAGTATATTCCAAATCTTAATTGACATTTTACTGCTTAGGTTCAAAACACCGTATTTCTTCCAATAATGGTAGCATGATTGTGATTTCAGACCTGTGTAGATATTATATGAGCTACTGATGTAAAAAGAAATGAAATTAAATAAATAAATTCATATGTTTCCAGCCAGAAGGGAGGAACGTATTTTGGAGGGAGGAAGTGTAGTCAGATTTCCAACAGGTATTTCAAACAATGGAAAATATTTTAATACCAAGAGTAAGGTTTTTTTGTTTGTTTTTTTTTTGTTTTTTTTTTTTAAAATAAATATTGCTGGCAGGAAAGGATTTTGGGGAAGATATAGCTGAAACTGACTTAGGAATTAATGTGTGTAATTTTATATGTATTTGTATAGAAGTACTCATGAAATCGTGAAATTCAATGAGAATAATGGTATATGCATCAAAACAAGGCTTCAGTAGTTCAGAAGGTATTAAGAGGTTCAACTCTGTATATAATGAGGCTTACATGTAGGATAATTTACAAATATGTCAGCAGAGTAAATGTAACTTCCCACCCACACTCAAGAATGTTTACATTAAAATAAAGCATGCCAGTGATCCATGGTCCTCTTTGCTTCCTAACATTTTTTCTACCTTCCCTCCTTACTGTTGATCCTTTCCAGACATTTAGATTTCTGACTGCTTTTTAACAAAGCTGCTTTTCTGTAGACGTCTCAATGAAGGGTAAGATGGGTTTCTTTAGAAGGTCCTGCTTTGGAAAAGAGTGAACACACAGGGCTTTATTGCCAAGTTTGAGTGTAGTGTCAGCAAAGTCATGATTCTAGTCATGTAATTAGTAGACAAACAAGGTCATGTTTTTGATTCTGTGTGTTTATTTGCTGTGATGCCCATGAATTTACAAGCATTGACCTAATAAAGTTCTTTAAGCATATACTTAGCTTTAAATGTATGAGTAGCCTCACTTGTGTCGGTAGACTAAAGCATGTGTTTGGAGTTGGGCGTATGTTTCTAAATGATCAATGAATGACTTCACTTTGTTTGCATAACATTAGTTACTGTTTTATCAATTTTAGGTAATACTTCACATCTGTCAACTCTTGCTGGTTCCCCACAGCTTCTGTAAAGATAGTTGTGGTTACTTTCAGGCTCTTGTTGCAGAGTAGAAGCATATGTTACAATGAGTGCTATTTTCTGCATACCTTGAGACTGTAAGTAAATGCATACAAACAGCCTTGCCATGAGTTCAGCAAGCACTTCAGTGGGCAGGTCAGTGCCGGAGCTGTAATGAAAGACAGTTTGGTGCTGTAGAACGAGTTAATAACATCTCCTTTGAAGGGAACACACGAGGTCTTACACAGTTTTGAAAAACTCTTATTGATTTATATGCGCTTATGTGAAGTTACAAGTATTTTGGCTACTGGTTAAATAGCAACAAACTGAATGTGAGTATTTCACAAATGGAGAAAAATAAATGGAAAAATGCATGTGATTATGAAACAAATTGCAGCCTCTGGAAGGGGGGAGAATGTGGTCTTTTTTAGTGTGACTTTACTTCAACCTTCAGGTTTTACCTTTCGTTCTCTTCCCTGTTTGATTGTAATTCCTAGCAGGCACATAGTTGCCTTTCTTCTGTGTACATGCTTGTAGCAGCGTTTGGCTACTTTTTGATGACCCTGCTGCTTCGTTTCCTTGACTGTTATACTGCAGCTCTGGATCAAATTCTCATCACTCTGCACGGATCACTCTCTTTGCTCTGTTAGCCAGAGTCATATGTAAGGAAGGGCATTTCTCTAACCTTAGTATAACCTTGTGATCCTTTCCATACTAACTTTTCTCTTGTGTCTCTTTTCAGTTTTAATATAGTCAGATGGTCTGTGGCTATAAATGGGTCTATGCTGCTCAGTTGAGCTACTCTACTTAGATCAGCCTAGGAACTGGTCTCCTATGTCTGAATTTAGACAAAAATATACCTCGGGTTCTGCTTGAATAGATTTTTAGCTCTGACACTTCTTTGAGAAAATATCTCCCACATGTATTTATAGTACTGCTGGTTTGTATTAGTCCGTGCTCTTAATAGGCATTTCTGTTTGTTGTTTTTTTTTTTTTCCTAAGAGCATTATTACCATTATTTTGCCTGTATTGGGACCATGAAAGAAAACTGCCAAGGAAAGTGTTGAAATCCTAGCCTTACTGACTAGAAGCCTCCACTAACTGGAGTGAGGCTAGGACTGCACCTGAGAAGAGTGTCGTAGTCAGGAGTTACCCCGCACATGCTTTTGCAGCTGTGTCTCTCTAGAAACGATGTCACATAGGAATATTTTTAAATCTCTGATTGCAAATGGTAAAGTTGGACTTCCGCTTCTGTTTCCTTATTGCTCTTTCTGTGACTGAACAATAATACAGACTGAGAACTTTAGAATGTGCTGAGCAAATACAGTCTCTAGTTTCCGTCAGAAACTCTTCAGGAGGCGAACATCCAATTCTGTAGGTGGCTTTGAAGATTTTAGTCCATACCACTGAGCATCAATTTGTCTTCATTTAAACTGCGCCTTAAGTGTACTTATTCTGGAAAGAGAAAATGTGCCTAACCGTAATGAAAAACAAAGAAGTATTGTTATTAGCCACGTCCTATTTATGGAATTTCCCACCGGTGACTCAGAATGAATCATTAATGATTCCAAGTGAAAACGATAGCAGTCTGTCTCCTCTCTGCTTGCAGCGGGTGTGTGGGATTTAACAATCTGTTGAAATAGGCAATGTTTTCTGTTCATGGGCTGTGGGATCCCAGCTTCTTCACATTGGAACGATATGTTTGCTGTAACACCTGCTAAAAGAGTTTGGAGTTGACCGAGTACATTTCTAGCAGCAGGTTAGAAGAAGTGACCTGGAGCAGAGCCCTTGCCAGCTCATAATAGCTCAGGAGCTGAGCAGTGGGACTAGGGAGGTTTAGGAAAGTTTTTCCGAGTGGATGAAGGTGGAAATCATTCCACTTCTCGTCATGCTGTTTGTGCTTTCAGAGCAGTGGAATTACCCTCTACACTGAAGTACATTCATAGACATGTTATTCTCTGCTGTCGCTGCTGCTGGTGCAAAAAAGGGCAGATTTTGCTCTGTTTGATCTAGTTGAATGGTATGAAGGCTTCCCAGCACTTTAGAAGATCCTGTTCCTTGTTACTTTACCAAGTGTTAACCCCTTAGATTGCGGTTTTCCATGTCAGTTGTCTGCCTCCATCTGGAGGTCAATTAATTTTCAATTGGTTTAACTGTTTCTGAGAGTGAAATGGAAAAGAATATTTTTTCTACATAATCTTCCTACGTCACGTAAAGAAGTACCACAGAACAAGGCAACCTTTTTGTGCTTCAGAACAAGGACTTTGGCAGTTATTATGAAAGTGTGTTTCGCTATCTTTAGAAAAAACATGTGGTTTAATAATGAATGCAGTTGCTTGTGTGATCTTAACTTGGCTCCTGTTTGAGCTGTGTTATGATTAGGTCTGATAGCATAAACAGATTTTCCACTGATGCCTTTTTAAGAGAATGTTTTCTGGTAAGTGTTTGTTTCCCATGCTGAAAGTACTTGTGTATGGGGTGAGGAGGAACAGTAATGCCAGTTTCTTGCTCTTCCATTCTGCTTTTTTTGTGATGGAGAAGTGAGGAGAAGACAAGAATGCTCACAGCTGGCTCTGTGGAACAACTTTCCACTGTCTGACCTTGTCGTCCTGCCATGCCGGCCTCCCCAT